TTTTCCACATGGCTTTGTATTACATTGTTTATTGCGATAACTTGGTTAACTCATGTATGTTCTGAGGAAATCCCATCCTTATGTGATTATGTATTCTGAGTATGCTAGGGTTTCCAGGTATGAATATATGGTTGGATATATTGATGCTGATTATGCAAGATGTCAGACAACATGGCGTTCTTCCTCATGGCATTGTACATTTTTACAGGAGTCTTCTCTTCTTTGGATGGAAGAATTTAGCCATGCCTATCATGACCTCTATGGCATGTGAAATCATCTAACTCAGATATGCTTTCAGATATCGAGGACTAGAGCATAAGGAAACCATGGCAGTTCTTATGACAATTTTATCGCCATTCACAGTGCGGCTAGTCTCATATTTCTTGAGAGAGCAGACATCTGTGACCTGATCAGAGAAAAGATGTCACGACCCCGCTCCCTGCTCCCTACCATCCCTATTGGACCCACAGAGGGCCAAGCCCGGGCCTGCCAGAGGACTGTATGGCGTGAGGCCACAGCCACAGATTGCGAGTGCCACTACGGTTGGGGTGCGTTCAACACCTTGAAAGCCAGCCACAAAAGAATGAAGAACAAAACACAATATACATAACCATAGTCTTTTGGACAAACAAGTCCCAAAATACATATAACAGTCCAAAATAGTATATATAGGTCCAAGGCATAAAAGGTCCAACATCCAGACATATCACCAAAACAAAATGGACTATATGGCCAAACTGCCAACCAAAATATACATTGCAAAATAGAGCTCCAACAGAAGGGGGGTAAGGGACCCCAAACATGACCACCAGGACACGCCACTCCAATCACGGCTGGCTATCACTCTACATAGGGGAAAAATTAACAGAGTGAGCTGTAAAGCCCAGTAAATAAGATTTAGGTGCCATGCTTTCATGATTACAAATATTTTGTCATGTCAAAAATCAGGGTTTTAAGCAAGTCTTACAAAACATGGAATCATGTGCCAAATTCATATTTAAACAAACGTGTCATGCATGATTTATTTCATGGTGGAGTAATAACTAATTAGATTAATCATATATGATTGTAATAAGAAGTTGATCAAATCATGATACGTAGAGCCTTTACCATCACAACCAGAAGAGAAGCACAACCAATGGGTAAATATGTTGTATAGTGCCTCACACACACACACACACACACAACCCTATTACAATGTGGTAAATTGATAGGCACTGGCCTTGCAAGGCACGACCCTCTCATGCGCCCTTCTGACGAAAGGGCGCTACACTACCAAAGGGGTCCCAATGAGTAGTGCCTCACATAAGTTTTGGGGGAGCGACCATCCAAACACACACTCCTAACTCTCATCCTATCATAGAGATCAGGGAGAAATCACAGCTGTCGGTACAAATATGTCATCAGATCATAACAGAAGCATGTCTCCATGCGCACATATCTTATCAGAAGCATGTTACCATGCATAGATCATATAACATAAGCATGTTTCCAAGCACACATATCTTATCGAAAGCATGTTACCTTGCCTAGATCATATAACAAAAGTATGTCTCCATGCACACATATCTTATCAAAAGCATGTTACCATGCATAGATCATATAGCATAAGCATGTCTCAATGCACACATATCTTATCACAAGCATGCCATGAGTGTCATATCCGAATCATATTTGAAACATATTTTCATACACAGATCACATAATGGAGGCATCTCATTAATAATCAGTGGCATGTTACATACACATTCTTATCAAGAGGTATATCACTAATTGAAAAGAGTCACGCTTCTTATGCACACAAATCATATCAGAAGCATGTCATACATAATAAGTATTATCTCAGAGACGTGTCAGGTACAACAATTGGCATCTCACTTATGTACATGCACCTCAAGATGGGACGAGAGTAGGGTCCAATCCTGCTAACTTTTCTGGATTTCCAAAGTGAGTACAGTGTGCTTACATGGACATAACTGTAAACTTACCCAACATTAAATTATGGGACTTGTTCCTAGATAAAACAGACTCAAAATTATACAATTTTTGTTTAAGAAGAAACATGAAATTATCGACCTAAATGGGTCGAATCACTTGATCCTTAGGGAGTGAACTTTCTGCCCTGCTGCACAAACCACAGCTAACCCCACCCTCTAGTAAAAAGGCCCTAACATTCGAAATGTGTGGAATTTACTCATGAGGCATAACTTTGTGAAAACTAAACTCAGAAATGTACAACTTTCATTTAGGAAGTAACATCAAAAAATGGACCGAGGTTGGTCAAATATATGATTCTTTAGGGGCTTACTTCTATTCTATGTAGCAGAAATTACAAAAGACATTCTGCTAGAAAAACGATCATAACTCTCAAACTATAGAGAGTTTCATTATGATCCCAAAACAAAAATTCATCTAGACTCATTTATTTAACATTTCAAAGTGGTTTCATATCATTCTAGTAAATTTTGGTCAGTCAAAAGCTTCACACAGAAACAAGTCAAATCCCTGGATTTTCAGTTCACAGATCTGATATGCTTCAACAAATAGTTAATAGCTTTCAAATTACAAGAGATATTAACAAGGGGTCTTTTCCATGTGGAAATACATTCAACATCCTACTGACCCATCGAGATTCATGGTCTAATTCAAGGTTTATGGTATGCTAACAATCACTCAAACAGGGACCACAATTCTGGAAATCAGAATAGCCTTGAACATAATTTTAGTAAACATGCACCCACACTCATATGCACACTTGAATTTCACATTTGAATTAGGTAAAGAAATATGTATTAACATAAGCATGAAACCTTGAAAAACTAAATCTACTTACCTTGCTCCAAGCGAAATCCTTCAGATGAAACGTTCTACAAGCTCTACTTTGGTTGCCAAGCTTCAAGTGGATTGGGTTCAAGCTTCAAAGGTTTAAGGCTTATGGGGTCAATGGGCTTGGTGGGTTTAATGGCTAAGGGCGAAGAAGAAGAACGAGGGGGAAAGAGGGGCATGTGAGGGAGTGAAGGGGTGAGGAAAGAGAGTGAAACCTAAGATGAGGGATATATATAAGCATGGGGGAGCACAATGATGGGCGTGGAAGCATGCATGTGCCACATGGCACTCAAGTGATTATGCATGATGAGAAAGAAGGCATACATGGGGAACATAATGATGGGGTAAAAGCATGCATGTGCCACATGGCACTCAAGTGATGATGCATAAGGAGAGAGAATGCATGCATGGGGAACACAATGATGGTGGTGGAAGCATGCATGTGCCACATGACACTCAAGTAATTATGCATGAAGAGAGAGAAGACATCCATGGGGAACACAATGATGGGGGTGGAAGCATGCATGTGCTATATTGCACTCAAGTAATTATGCATGAGGAGAGAGAAGGCATGCATGGGGAACACAATGATGGGGGTAGAAGCATGCATGTGGGTAATCATGTGCATTGGGATGGGTATTTTTTATGAGGATTCGTGCACATAAAAGTGTGTGCATGCATGGGATGCGTGCACAATGCATTGGGATGCATGAAAAAAAAAATTTGGCGTACGGATCATGACTTTCTGATAGTAGCTTGGATCTGAGCGATTTTTGTACGGTTGGAAAGCTCGCGATCCCTACAATAACACAGTAACATTCAAAAACACTAGACAGAGGTTATTCAGCAAATCAAAAAAGAAATATGAGGAAAGCATTAGAAGGAAACGATTCAGGATGCAAACAGGATCAACGGTCCGAAAAGTCCCGGACCTTACAAAAGATATTTATTATGCTCCTGTTAAATTTTTTTATTAAAGCAAACATCACAGTGTTGATCTCTTTGTGAGGGCTTTAACGAGGAAGAGATTAAACATCAAATTATTGATCTCTTTCCCATAGATTAAAGGGGATAGCTGAGTTGGTGCATTGTACACTATGTATCATGTCTTGCGTATCTTTCATCTTTGTCTCATAAGGATACTTTGGTGATTTTCCTCAGATTCATGTACTTATGGAGCCATAGGAGATGTGAATTTTTGTGTATACAGTGGCCCCTTGAGGGAGGAATACGTTTATTCAATTGAATCCCAAACCTTTTTCCTCAAAAATTTGTGCATCATTTTTATGTTTTCTTTTGTCATTATTCATAAGGGTGGTTTAGCCACTCTCTTCTTGTAACCCCATTTTTTACCAAGTGGTGATCAACTCTCTCTCTCTCTCTCTCTCTCTCTCTCTCTCCTGTGATACACTCACAGATAAAACATGCTACTAGAGTTAGTTCATCCCAAAGCGGACTTTAACTGTATAAATCCCATTCCTACTTATCTGAGGTTTCTTGATAGCCAAGTCTTAGCATGACATTGCTTCTGACCTATGAGGTCAATGTTATGTGTTTCTTTGGCTCATTGGGGGAATGTGACTCTTCCTTGGGGTAGGCAAAGACACTCCTCCCTTGATTACTACAGGACACATTTGTTCTCATTGATTGTGGGGGGTTGTCTTAACATCAACAGATTGGCATGTATTGAGGCGCATCAACCATGGAGAGTGTCTCGTATCGTCATGGAGTAATTAGGTCGAGATTGACTTGTCCTTTGCATATTTAAGAGGTCAATGGAGATGCCATTCAGCTGGCTAAAGGTGTAAATGGTGTGGCCTCAAAACTCAAAAGTGCCATTTCTCTTCATGGTTTTTCTACTTGGGATGAATCCTTAGCATTTAATTTACAATATGTATTTTTGTTATTATTCCCAATTGTTGTTTTTGTTATCTTAATTTTTCACTTGTACGTTATTTCACTTTTCACTAAGGTAAGAAGTTTGGGACATAGCAGATAAATAGTAAGAATGCCTATGAAAGTTATTGTTTGTTGTGGACAATGTCCTTTAGTATTTCTTATATAATTGAATGTTCAACATTTATTGTTAAATGGTTTCTTTATCTTGCATCTTCTGTACTCCATGGACAAGACATCGGTTCACTAACATGTATTTGTCTATGCCCCTCTTGTAGGTATGAATCTGGTGACAAATTAAGCTCTGAGCATGAGACAATAATCTTGGAAAAGTTGCTCCCATATCATCCAGAGGCAGATAAAAAGATTGGCCCTGGAGTTGAATTCATTACAGTATGTTTCTGCTCCGTCTTAAGCATTGCCAGTATTTTTTTTTTTTATTCAGATATTATCTAATTATCCTATTCTCTTGGAAGATGCTTTGATCATGATGGCCATGAGTGTGACTCTTCCCAATAGTGAGCTTTTAATTTTCCCGGAAAGGCTGAAAGTTGGACTATGTAACCCGGGCAAGTGTATGCTAATTAAAATTTTTCTTTCTTTTCTTTATTTTCACCACCTAGATTACTTTTACATATGTCGAAATACATAATAAAAAACACAAAGAATCCCGAGGACTCTCACTTGCTACCTTTAACAACTTTTTATTGCACAAAAAATTACATAAACTTGATCTTTGGATCATGAAACACAAACTGCATAAACAGAAAATAAATTGCCAGAAGATTACCTCAATTGGACTTTGCACATCCCACTCCAGGTTTCCTCCTCTGATGGCACACAGGATCAAGGTCTTTCTCATATCTTTAAAGTATGAGAGACCTTATGCTATCAACCCTTTCAAATCAGAGAGCAATAGTGGAACTGTAGGCTAGGTCTCAATCCCTAATATGATGGACTAGGTCTCAATACCTAGGCTTCGGGCATGACCCTCTTTTCTTTTCTCAAAGATAGCTCTATCTTAGAGATGCTAGAGAGAGAGAGAGAGAGAGAGAGAGAGAGAGAGAGAGAGAGATCTGTAGAGAGAGTGCGTACA